TGCATGTAAATAGTACATAAACAACACGAGATAATAATGTTTATTGTTATGTTACATTTTAGGTTGACATAGGACGAGAATGTATCCCATAGATATAATCTCTTCTAAACAGAGCACTTACTGTCATCTTTAACAGTTCCATACATATGTAATCGTATGCGATTCTTGTATACTTCAAATGAAGAAAACCAGTTTAATATTGCTAATGTTCAATTTCATGTGTAAACATACAAATCTTTGTCTAACCTGGTTGTATGTCTTACAGTTTTAGTAAAATGCATTATCACTTAAAGTAGCCATTTAATACATGTAACAATGTATTTACTACATTTAGGATTTAACCTTTTCCCTTATATAAGCGTGTTTGTTTCGACGGCTTTTTGCACCCCCCCCCCCCTTTTGAGGCCTCAAACAGAGAAAAAAATGCCCTATTTAGACCCCAAACACTGTTTTTCGTTTGAGAAATGTTGTTAAAAAAAGTGACCACTTTTTCGGCGCCGTCCTCAATCCAAATGTTACATTAGGGGGTTGCCAGAAGGGGTATGTGCCCATTTCTGTTTGGGGGTGGGAGTCCCCCTCGTCGCCAAGAAAATTTTGGACATGTCACAGGCTAAAAATGGCATCAGGACGATCTTAGGGTAACTAGTAACCGACGCTGAAAAGGCCTCTACTCTGTCTCAATTCATTGAGAAGTTGCAGCACTTTGAAATCAGTTTTGATGGGAAAAAAACAATGCAAAATAGTGATTTTTGGCAATTTGAGACGTCCCCCCGTTGCCATGGTAACAGTAAATTTACGATTGAGCATGCTGTCTAGTCAACATTTGTGCCATGTTTCATCAGTATTTAAGCATTTTTCTATAGTTTCATAGCAGTTTGAACTTGTTACAGGAGGCTTTTCAATAAAAACGGCCATTTTTCGCAATTTGCTCATGGGGTAAAAGGTTAAAAATACTGTGATGAAAATTTATAGACAGTAACCAAAACCAAAGTAAATGTACTACAAGTATAGTCAAAATGAATATATCTACATCATTCCTACAGTTTCTGAAGAAAACAATTCACAATTAAAAAAAACTTAATCATATATACCTCAAATGTTTGAAGCTACCTTCGAGAAATAAATGAAAGAAAGAAGTTTTTGTAAGATCTGATCTTAACATAGATCTAGAAATAAATTATGTTGTTAAAGTTCATTTTTCCACACACATTGCCTACATACATATGTAAACAACTCATTTTAAATACACGTGAGTATTGTGATAAATTATGGAAGCAGCTAGGAAGGTATTCGAGACATATATATACTATTGGAAATATCCCTTGAAATTATTGTAAATTCTGAGTTTATTATATCAGCTATAAAGCCATAAATTAAAAACAAAACCAAGCCAAAAAGGTAAAGTTCTTGGACTTATTCGTCAGCTATTCGTTTCCTAAGCCCTATGGGATTGTGGGTGGAGGGGAAATGGCTTAAGTTTTAACCAGTGAAGTTGTTGAATTTTGCTTTCACATCGAAAATGTTAGTGATTATAGATTGAATATTTAGTCAGATCATGAAGAATTTGAGGGAATCCTATAATTTGAAAAATTTACATGCATGTACATTGTGCGTTGAATCTGCTGGACTAAAGTCACAGTCCCAACTAATCTCCAGGCAAGGGCTATAAATGACTGGTGCAACTTTATACCCCATGCCATGTAAAATTGATGGTAAAATCTTGATTCACATTCAAGATAAAAAAACTTTGCTTAACTAAGGATGATCATTCATTTATATTCAAACATATTTATACTTATTTATTCCAGACTAGATTATGAAAACCCTGCCAGATACTAAATAGCAAAGCCAGCAATTTTTATTAAAGAAAATATATATTCTGTTACCGAGTTTAATGTTTTAACAAACTAGTAAGTTGGATTAGAAGAAGATAAATTGCAATATAATTATATAAAGATTAATATATGATGCGAGATTATTGTCTGAAATAATCAATATAATATGGAAATGATGATAACTATTAAAGGAACTCCGCTGAGGTACAAAAACCTATCAACATAAAATTTGAATTTCTGCCATAGACCAACAGGAGCACTTAAAACGGTAAGTTTGGCAATTTTAAGATGATTAAAATATAAAGTTTGTGACCATACCTCAGGGCTGGGAATCAAAACTCCGTCGTATCCTACAAAATGTAAACAAACGCCGCCATCTTGGAACGAAAAACGTATGTTTTTGTTTATAACTTTTTTTTGTTGGAAATGACTGAAAACCAGATATATATATTAACACGCTACACTATTTTCCGCTTCGTTCGGTATATGTTGCTTGCACAACTATTTTGTAAAACAAAAGTTATAGCGAACTTGCAACTCGAAGCGGGGCAGAATTTTTATGAACTTGTGTGGATACGACGCAGTTCATATTGCTTTATGTATCGTTTTCCCCTTCAAATCAGTAATATATTTATTTCAGAGTTCACCATAAACTTCGAAATATAATTTTGCATCATTTACTAAAAATTTCATTAAAAAAAGATGTTTATTTTCTAAGAAAATAATATTTTTTACGAAATGATACGACGCAGTTAAAAATAAAATATGATACGACGCAGTTGTATTTTTGTCTTTTCAACAGGGATAATTTTGGCAATATATTTCTATTTTATGGAATAATCACTTGCCCTAGATAACAAAACCCAGATCATTTGCGGTGTATAGCAATGTTATGTTGCTTTTGGTTATTTAGAATACATTGTGTCATGTCTAATATAACATTTAATTTGAAAGTTTACATTGCGGAAGCTACTTTTCAGTTAAACATGAACATGTAACCTAATTGATCATAATATCTGAAATAATTTCTTATATTTTCCCGTATGTTCAATATTATCCCTAATTTTTTTTTTTTTGCAAAAAAAAATATGTAGAAATCTATTAACTTGAATTCATTTTGGCTAGCTACGCTCCAAGTCAACTGTGGATCTGCATGTTCTGGGTATATGACTGCTTTTTGTGGTCAAACTTTCACTCTACACATTAGCTTTACTAACTTTTTTAAAGTTCCGCGGCGCTGAACATAAAATGACTAAACGGAACGCATAACCTACTTGCAAAAATATATTGTAATATAATTTTAAAAATTCAATGTTCAGTTTCAAATAATAAAGCTCATGTGTTCTCACCGATTATTAGAAAAATGAATACAATAAAATCGGCACGTAAAAGACATAAGTAATAACGGAATTGACGGAAATTGTTGCTATTACAAGTAACAAAGGTAGGCATGCAATTTGCGCATAGCTCTCTTCCGATAGCACTGAGACCTTTTCAAAATTTGTAATTTTTTCTCTTTTTTTTTAAAAAAAAAAACGGTCATTCCTGATTAATACAGGGTCCAGGAGAGGTTACACTGGAATATTGAATTTTGAATCACTCCCATTTCAAACTCATGGGAACAATTTTAGAAGCATGCTTAGGCAACACTGGAACACGTTGTCATATGGGTGTGCGATCACGTGTTTCAATGTATATTGCATTTGATACAGCTTTTCGGAATTTGTAGATGCTTATGATAGGTACTAAAATGCGACCGAAAAATGTAGCCTTAATAGAATTGTATTACATTTCCATTTTTATGGAACCAATGAGTGACCTCTGCTTTTGACTTAAGTTGTAAACAAGAAATGTTGTTGGACGTTATTAGCAAACCTAGCACATAATTTAAATAGTTTAACCAATATGCAGCCTGCAATGAAAATACAACTGCGTCGTATCATATTTTATTTTCAACTGCGTCGTATCATTTCGTAAAAATCATTATTTTCTTGGAAAATAAACATCTCTTTTTGATGAAAGTTTAGTAAATGACGCAAAATTATGTTTTGAAGTTTATGGTGAACTCTGAAAATGAGTATATAATTGATTTGAAGGAAAAAACGATACATAAAGCAATATGAACTGCGTCGTATCCACACAATTTCATAAAAATTTTGCTCCGCTTCGAGTTGCAAGTTCGCTATAACTTTTGTTTAACAAAATAGTTGTGCAAGCAACAAATACCGAACGAAGCGGAAAATAGTGTAGCGTGTTAATACATATATCTAGTTTTCAGTCATTTCCAACAAAAGAGTTATAAACTAAAACATACATTTTTCGTTCCAAGATGGCGGCGTTTGTTTACATTTTGTAGGATACGACGCAGTTTTGATTCCCAGCCCTGATACCTACCATTATGCATATTATCAGAGATGTAGATAACATCTATGTCTCTGATATTATTAGTGTTTTAAATTTCTTTTGTACTTTTGAAAACCTTTTTTTCTATTGTTCTATTATTTAGGCTTAAACTGCCATGAACTAAGTGAAAGTTTATTTCTTTTCAGGCCAAGATGGCAAACATTATTGATTTGAGTGCAGCCACTTCGTGGTCAGGCCCTATCTCCCGGCTTGAATTGCCACTGTAAACTGTCAATAAATAACTTTTAACATTTAACAAAAACAGGGCATCTGTCTATTCTTAAAACATTTGCACAAGAATTAAAAGAAATCCCATTTCCCTACAGGCACAAGTGATATGACAATTATGCATTATAATCGTACAAGTTAAGTCTTTTAAGTCATTAGAATAAGTCAAAGAGTTTAATTTGGATATTTTTTATAAAATCAAACATTCATTAAATATAACAAGCAAAATTGACATTTTCTTCAGGTTATTCAGTTGTTCCAACAATTTGTTTTAAAGTGAAATTAGTAAGGACATACATGTAGAATCACTACAACTTATGTTAAGAATAAGTTTCTTAATGGTACATATTAGATATTCCGCCCATTTTTGATTACGATAACAAATTATAGAAAAGGTGTTTTAAATAAATAAAAACGTGTTCGCGTGTCTAAATTTATTGCATGAAATCCGAATAAAACCTTCAATGTTTAATTATGTTCTGTTACGGGTGAAGTATTTGACAGAATTTATTCTACGTTTTAGTCAAGTTTAAAATCTGTGTATGTATACACCATTTCAATACACCTGTTAATATAACTTGTTAAGGAATAATTTAAATAGTCCACCACTTAACGCTTCGATTTACAAAGTAATTCAGTGCTGACCTGCTTGGATACTGATTTATATATAATTGGCAAAATGGTCGAGTATACAATGATACTAGTTCTTGTTCTAAGTATTCTGACATGGATCACAACAAATAATTACTACAATTACACGTATTCAAAACCTCAGGATTGTCAAGATGTTCAAAAATACGGGCATAGTGAAACTGGTGTTTATACAATATACCCGGAAGGAACTTTGGGATTTCCCGTCAGGTGTGAATTTAATGATTCTACTTCCGGTGCATGGACTGTGATACAGCGTCGCGTTTCAGCTAGTGACTTCTACAAAAGCTGGAATGAATATCAGGTTGGATTTGGAGATCTGAGCGACAATTTCTGGCTTGGAAATCAACAAATTCATATGATTACAAGGCAAGGCTGGTATGAGCTACGCATTGATATTGTATCTCCTGAAAATGAAGTGGCACATGCGCTATATAATGTTTTCTATGTCGGTGATGCGAAGTCACGATATGAACTGCTTGTTGATGGATATAGTGGCACAGCCGGGGATAGTTTGGGGCCACACAATGGACATAAATTTACAACTAAAGATAGAGATAATGACCAATACGAAAGTAATTGTGCAGTGCAATTTATAGGTGCATGGTGGTATGGAAAATGCCATTCTTCAAATCTTAATGGTGACTATGGTAATACTCAATATGCGAAAGGTTTGTCTTGGTATCATTGGAAAGGACATTACGTTTCAATGAAAACAACAGAAATGAAGATCCGGCGATGGCAGTCTCTGAATATGCATGGATAAAATTTTATTACACATAGATAAAGAGAAAATGAACTAATACAATTATATCTCATACAAAATAATAATAATGCATGTAATAATAATATTAATAATGAAAAAGTCTTTATTTAACGAGATAACTCACTTGAACAGCATATCAATCTTACTTGTCAGACCCTAAACAAGGAACAATATAAATTTATAATATTAAAACTATTAAGATACATACACGAGATTAAAATGACAAAGCTATCTATTTGTTGTATGGAATTGACACTGACAGAGCTGCATCAGTGTATGATAATATTTAAAAAACGGTTAACAATTGTAGCAAACTTGATATAATGGGAAGATATTTCCAAATACAAGATCCAGAATAAACAAATGACTAACATACGTATGTTAAGTTGAAAACAGATGATGGTTTGAACACCTGATGAAATTATTGAATAAATAAGAAGGCGTCTGCTAAAGTAGTGAGCGAGAGCTGCACAAACTGACGGAAAACATTTTTCAGTTTATCTGACTACGGTGTACATAGTGACGACTTACATCCTCTTACATCGAAACATCTATATGAAACTACTGTTTTATCTAAGGCCCTATATGGCAGTGAACTTTTGAATGGGCTATCACAGTCACAAATCCAGTTACTAAAGAGCACATAGATAATGTGTTAATTAATGAAAGGATGCCAAAATACACGAAAACAGAAGAAGCCCTGTGTCTACTTGGAATCTACCAATAGATAAGAGGAAATTAAGCTCCAGTTAAATTTGGCCGGTTGAGTACTTTGGATAGCTCAAAAAGAATCAAAATGTTCATTAAACGATTGTTAATGTTTATGTCAACCTCTCAAACATGTACAGGTTTCATACCAGACATTTACATAATTTTAGCGTGCTAAAAAATTCATAAACGATGCGATATTTTTTTATAAAATTTAATGATATTTTGATATCAAAATCTTTTATAGCTTTGCTTCACACTGCCTTTGTTTCATGTTACTTTATGGAATTTTGTCAGATCTACAGAAATTATGTAAAATACTGTATTAAAGCTATTTCTGCTTTAAGTCGATATATTTTCTTGTGTTTGTAAAAAGTGTAACTTAACCTCCTCTATTGTAATTCATCTAACATTGTTTTGCTGTATGTGGTTATGATATTTGGCGCAAATTACACGATATCCTTTGCGATAAATTCAATGTACATGTACTATATAGTTTAAATGTACAGCTTATAGAATTACTAGGTGGCTTACCGTCACTATGTAAGGATATCATGTTACCAACTGATATATAGAGTTTCATTCTATGTGCAACAAGAAAAGCATTGATGCAAAGCATCAAAGGGCGTCCAAGCAAGAAATGCAGCAGGTGTAGATGAACTAGTAGATATATGATGACAAGATATTCTTATAAACAGTTAAAACTGTTCAATGGTTCATTGGTATATCACTTATGAATGAACGAACGAAAGACATTGTTCATTATCTATAACTTTGATCGGCATGCTAGAAATTAAAGTATTACTTGTTATTTCTCTATGATCGTGGTTATTAATAGCAACGGATATACATGTATACAATCATTTATAATCCATATGAGTAACGCATGATCAACACCACACTTGTGTAATTGTCCCTTATTATGTTTTCGCTATTAGCGAAGACCCCCCTCTTAAGGTATCTGTTCACACTTAGTAACAATATGACACTTGTTATATTACCATGTTGATCATGTTGAGCATAAATGTTTATTATACACTAATTGTAATATCTTTTTTTAATAAAAAATACAGATTTTATGAATATTGTTTTCTTTTCTTTTTAGTGTTTGATGCACTATTTTAATACTGAGTTTTTACGTTTACTACTCTTTTTTTTTATTAAAATTGTAAAATAAATTTTAAGAATTCAATTGTCATAATGACCGACGATTATAGGCCAAACTTAACTGGAAAAAATCAGTAAAATATTGTTAATCTTTCAATATATAATATTGTTTATTCTTAAACCATATACATGTACATTTGTATTTTTCTTTATCATTTTTTAAATTATCAATCAATTGAATAATTCATAAAATCTGATTTGTAGCTTTGAATAATTCCTCGGCATCTTTACTAAACACGAAAAACAAATTAAATAAAATGTTTCAAAGTTGATAGTGTCATATTAATGCCATAAAAATGTACATTTTTCTCAATTATTGTAAATATTTATTGTTTTTATCTCATATAGATAAATTAAAACATGCGATTTGTGTTTTTTTTTCTTCCGAATTGTACGTTTATGTATAATAATAATCAATAAATTTGAGAGTTGATCTGTGTTTATTAATAATTGTAACCAAACTAAGTGACAAACATTCATTTTGAAAAAAAGTTAATTTATCTGTAAAATATTTGTTCTGTTCTGTAACGATATCAAACATCTACTCCAAAACCGGGAGATACCGGACAATAAACGTGTGGTACTATTCGCCGGTCGTCAAAATAGACCAGGAGAGACCGGAATTACCTACAGGAGTACATCCCTCTATAAATAGATTTTCGGAATATTTAGGTCATCAACTCATCATTCTATTTACAGCTTTCGGAATAACATACCATAATAACCCACTGTGTACTACAAAATGATAAATAAAAATATCCCGAAGAGCGCGATTTATTGACGGAAAAGGTTATTTAATTTGAAAATGTTTGCATTGCAAAATTCTCCAGTTCGCTATTCATTGTACATATCGCGACTAGTTAATAATCAAGCACCCTCATACCGATCGGAATGATCGGCTTTTATTATGAACAACTATAAAAGGCTCGAGAAGTTGCTGTCGCCCTTTCACAAAATCTGATTTCATTACATAAAAGGCGCCGCGCTTCGGCGCGGGCGCCAATGAGGCCTTTCTCAAATTATATGCATACTTTACATTCCATCACCAGAGAGAGGCTAACAGGGCATGAATGTAAACAAATAATGTCTGACCTGATAAGCCCTAGTGTGTTAAACTTACTTGGGAAATCTCATTTTTATTCCACTCTGTTATTCCAATTCTAGATATAATTATACCGTTAATTTTCATAAAATACCTAAGGATGTGAGTTTAACAAAGGAAAGGATTGTGAAAATAAGATGGATGAAAGAACGTTTCAAGGTAAAATACCATTGTTCTTTTCTTTTTAAACCAAGCTACTTAAGTTGTATTACTACTTACATTAATTACTCTCATTTCTCATTGTTTTAAATGTTTCATTTATATAAACATAACAATATGTTTGTTCATAAATTTCATTTAAAATATCACACTTATAATGATAACATTTAAAACATAATTGCTTCAGAATCTAAATCAATACTGTTTTTATACTAAAAAGCAATAAGGTTATTTTATGTACTATTTCAGATCAATATTTTGCAATACTTGCTCGTTTTGAAGCATTTCACACAATAAGATTAACAATCATGGACATAAATTCATATATGTCTGAAGAGAACCGATGTACCCTGTAGATGGTTCGACTGGAGTAATAATCAACAGACCAGTAAGATGAACACTAAAGAAGAAGATTTCGTTACCAGATGAAAGGTATACACAAGACTTAATTTTCATTTTTTACACATAAACAAAGTTCAGCCCCTGTAAAAAATATATGTGCAATTAAAATATAAATTGATATATTCTAGAAATGGCATAATTCTTGTTTCCACTTCTAAATAAAAGGTATATATTTTTCAGGAATTCCACTGGTAACAGTCATGAACACAAATTGACAATTGGTATTTGAAATCCCTTTAATTATCTCTTCATGGCAGTGGCAAGAAACTATCAAACAGTTCAAAGAAGAATTACAGAAAACTAAGGAGGAAAACAAACAGTGATATTGAACTTCTGATACAAACAAATTTTCAAATGTTGACAGTTGTATATTTTGTAATGTTATACAGGATTTCCAACAAAATTTACTATATATTCATTACAGTTTTCAATAGGAAAAAATTAAGAGAGTTTATTATGATGCAAGCAAAACAATCAGCTTGACTGGCGAAATGTTTTTAGCATATTTTACAGGATCATTTGTTCAGTCTTTTGCGCCTTGAATTTAAATAAAAACTTTAAAAGAAATCATCGCATTACTTTGTTTTTAACATTGTGCTTTGTTACATATATGGTGCAGGGAATATGTCAACATGTTTATTACATTTAATATGTTGTCCTCTTATTGCATTATATTGTTGAGAGAATATGTCTTGGAATGTTAAAAGAAGTGCTAAAACTCGATGCTGCCTTTCCTTATACCCTACAACTGCAAGGTATATTGCACAGGTTTTCTGCGAATGTTCAGTCCCCTATGTACATGGAATATTTGGGGTTGGTAAGTCCAGGCAACATCCTCTGAAAGTGCAGTGTTCCCTAATGATTTGTTATATACCAGCCAGTTGAGGGTTCCAACATTATGACCACATAATCAAGTCGGACCAACTGGACAAGTGCAATAATCTAATGATACTTCAGCTTCGTCTTAAGATTTGACTGATATTTGCAATCAAATGATTGTATTTCGTTATATACTAAGTATTTTATACTGTAATTAATTAAATAGTTGATAATATATAAGTTTTACGTTCCTTACTTAGCATGAAATGTATTTTTACATTGCTGTAAACAACATCATGACTTGTGTTATGATACTGAAAATCCATTTAAATGTATAAGACGGGGGTGTCATGTTTAAACAAAATATCATTTTGATTTGATAAGGCTATCTGTAAAATTAACCAGTTTCTAGAGAGTCATCCAGAATTTTTTACTTTTAAATACAAAGTGAATAAAACTTTTTTTAACTTTTTTATTTCAATAGCTAAATTTAGGGGAAGTATGGTACAGAATTCAGCATCCAACTGTTTACATCTATTTATCAGTTAATTGCTATAAATACACTCTTGACCAACATGTGTTGAGGTTAGCAATAAAATACTGATAACGCAGATAATGTCTACTTAAGTTGCAAAGAGTTAACCTGATATTTATACTGACAAAGAATATTAGAAATTATTTGGAATTATCATAAACTTTAATTGACTTAATATCAGGTCTTGTATGTCCTTCACTGTATATCATTGGTGTAAATTAAACCCTTTGTTGATTTATTCATCTCCAGAAGAGATTTTTTAATATTAAATATAGTTCTCAACAAGTATGTAGCAAACAGAACATTATCAAGATCGCTGACACTGTAGAAAAATCTTTCGGCCATATATTCTTCATATGTTTACATAGAGCAGATACCGCAGCTTGCCCTGTTAGCCTCGTTCTGAGAAATCTATGAATATGTATGAGGTAATATTAAGAAGGGTCTAATAATATTGAATAGAGACGGTATTTACGAGATTTGAAAAGACACACAATATCTAATTATATCATGTTAATATTCATAAATGATGTAATGAATGCATAAGACTGCAGTAAGCACAGTTTTAAACTTGACAATACATCATTATGCTATGATAAAGATATATTACAATTAAATGGTAAATTTAGGATACTTTTATTTCGTTTCGCTAGGAATCTTAGGTCATAGGATATAACTGAAAACCATTTATTATAAGCCTCTAATCTTGACCTTTGCAGTTAATGTGGGCTTTTTTCTGTCATGATGTATATATTATCGTTTTGTTATCTCATTATTTATTTCAGCCTCATATCACATTTATATAGTTCTAACATACATTTGATACATGTGCATATACATGTATATGTTTCATTTTTCTCTCATTTCTTTGTTTGCTTTGTAATGTATTTGTATTTTGTATAACATGTATCTCTTTACTCTTGGAGGAAATAAAGACATCTTATCTTATGATATCTTTTAGTAACCGTGAATTATACAACACTAGTTAAGATATGGTAAAAATATATGCATTGTAAAACATTATAAGTACAGCTTATACAAAACGATAGATATGAATATTTTTATGTAAGAAAGAGGTTTATTTTTTCAGAACATTATCGATATGGCTTTACAAAGACCAGGTATTATTCATTGTATAATACCAAATAATTTTTCTTCAGAGGTTCAAACTATTTGCTCAGTAGACCCCAATTTTCTCCTGGCGCATATATATATATATTCGCGAGTGTCTGTTACTGGATTTATCGCGTTTGGTGTCAATAGGTCTAAGCAAACTCAAGTTATAGAGGGGAAACTGAAATGCTATTTTTAGTTACAGTGACCTTGACCTTGACCACAGACACCTAGGTAGCAATCCCGAGTAGCGTCTTGATATTAGCTGTCCAAACACAAAGTCTTGTGTCAATAGGTCTCAGCAAACTGAAGTAATAAGATGGAAACTGAATTTCTATTTTAGCAACAGTGACCTGACCTTGATCACAGACATCTGGATAGCAATCCCAAGATGCATTTTGATGTAAGCTAATTATACACCAAGTCTGGTGTCAATAGGCCAAACCGATTCCAAGTTATTGAGCGGAACCTGAATTTGTAATTTTAGCAACAGTGACTTTGACCTTGATCACAGACACCTGGGTAGCACTCCTAAGCTGCGTTTTGATATAACCTTTCAATACACCAAGCTTGGTGTCAAAAGGCCAAAGCAAACTCAAGTTATTAAGTGGAAACAGAATTTCTATTTTTAGCAACAGTGACCTTGACCTTGATCACAGATATCTGGATAGCAATCCCATGCTGAGTCTTAATATAAGCTATCCATACACCATGTTTGGTGTCAATATGCCCAAGCAAACTCAAGTTATTGAGCAGAAACTGAATTTCTTTTTTATTAAAAGTGACCTTGACTTTAATCACATACACCTGAGTAGCAATCTCAAGCTGGCTCATGACATAAACTACCCACACACCAAGTTCGGTGTCAATAGGCCAAAACAAACTCAAGTTATTGAGCGGAAACCAAAAGTTGACGCCCGCCCAACCACCCTCTCGCGCACCTGCCGCCCAAGACTTCGGCATTTCAATAACCGGTTTTCATTGAAAACCTGTTTTTGTTGAAAAACCTGGTTAAAAAAACGAATATTAGAAAATACTGGAGGCCATTCATGAGACAGAATAGAAAGTGCATCATCTCTCACGCTTCTAGCACCAAATAAAGAGCTATTTACTTAGTCCCCCTTTTGCACTGGTTTAAAAGTTCGTTTGATGTGATCTGTTAAATGAAGAATGTATGTACACATACATTTACTACATTTGTGATATAAATATGAAACAGAAAAACAACAGCACCCAATAAGAACGTCTTTAACGACAGAATGGCAGGTTCGGTTTGATTGGGCCCGTTCATGGACGGTAGTGGTTAGTGTTAGCTACCATCCACACCCCCTAGCACCGGCGTAAGCAAATTCAACATACATATAAGTCATACATTATTATTTTCAAAACATTCATTGCAGGGTAGTCTTATCTTTTCGTTACTTTTCCAAGAATAAGGTACAAATTTAATGGAGCCACAGCAAGATTACATACCTCTGAATGGGACCTTATAACTTTATATTATTTAAGCAGCTTGGAAGGTGACACAATTAAAGAATTCGAGACATACTTTAGGAAATATCTCTTGAAATTATTTTAAATTCTGAGTTTATTATATCAGCTATAAAGTCATAATTCAAAACAAAACCAAGTCAAAAAGATAAAGTTCTTGGACTTATCCATCAGCTATTCGTTTCCAAAACCCTATGGGAGTGTGGGTGTGAGCGCGGATGTGACTTAAGTTTGAACGAGTTAAGTTGTTGAATTTGCTTTCACATCAAAAATATTAGAAATTACCGTTTGAATATTTAGTCAGAGCATGAAGAGTTTGCGGGAATTCTATAAATTTTAATAATTTACGTGCCTGTACGTTGAATTTGCTGGACTAAAGTCACAGTCCCAACTAATCTCCAGGCGAGGGCTATAAATGACTGGTGCAGCTGGTGACCATTTTGCTTATACGAGGTTTATTCAAAAAGTTTTGTTACCAATGGTCTTCCGTAGTGAAATCAACGGTTTTGCTTCAATAAACCTATACATAAATGTACATAAATATTCACACTTTATAAGCACGAAAAACACGTGCAAATCAATGCAATAATGACAAAATTTATTCAGTTTTGAAGTAGTGTCACTCATATACACTGGCAATATTTTGGAAATTACAAAGTTGAAGTACGCACTTATATTAAAAGTCGCACTGCTTTGCATATATCTCCAAAAGACATTTATAATGAGCTGAATGGTATTAATGGACATTCTGTGGTATCATTTATGACAGTTTGTAGGTGGGCGAAAAAATTTAAAGGTGGGCTTTCTGTGATTAAAGATGGTCATCGAAGTGGACGTCCGAAGTCGTCAGTGACTGATAAGCATGTGGCTGCTGTGAAAGCATTGGTGGAAGAAGATGGCCGTTATACAGAAAAAGATATGGCTAATAGTGTTGGCATTTCAGAAGGAAATGTTCATAACATTCTGTCAAAAAAACTTGGACTTAAAAAGGTCTGGAACGTTGGGTGCCCAATTTACTGACCAATGACCAGAAAGAAAATGAGAGTCATGTGTTTCAAAAAACTCCTTAAAGAGTTCAAAACATTTGACAGCAGGACTATTTCTAATATGTTAACTGGAGATGAGACTTGGGTCTACATGTTTGAGCCACAAAGGAGGGGTGATAATAAACAATAGAGAGGAAAAAATCAAAAACGTTCAGTAGTGGCTAAACGGCAGAAAAGCTCAAAGAAAGTTCTGTACACCATTTTTTTCAATCATCTTGGTCCAGTTATTCAGATACCATCACAATCTGGAAAATCAATCACTGGAATATATTATAAGAACGTTGTGCTAAAAAGGATAAAAATGTTTTATAAAAAGAAACGTCCAAGTACTGGAATAAGAGGAGTTAAATTACTACATGATAATGCCCTCGCGCATAAAAGCAAGGTTTTTTTAACTTTCTCGCTGAAGAAAAGGTAAATGTGTTAAGCCACCCCCCTTATTCACCGGATTTAAGTCCATGTGACTGTTTATTTCCACGGCTAAAAAAGATGTTGTCTGGACGTCGGTATACCACCAGAAGCGGACTTGGAAGTGCTGTATATCAGTGTTTGAGACTGATACCAAGGGCAGACTACTCTGATGCATTTAGACAGTGGAAATTTCGATTACAAAAGTGTATTTCTGTAGGTGGTAAATATTTTGAAGGGATGAAATAAACCATTTTCGTATATATTTTCTTTATCTTGTTTTTAATACCCGATAACAGAACTTTTTGAAGAACCCTCGTAAATAATCGTGCAAGTTAAGTCTTTTTCCATGGAAAGTTAAAGTCATTAGAATATGCAAAATAGTTTAAATTGGATATTTTTATAAATGAAACATTCATTAAATATAACAAGCAAATTTGACATTTTCTTCAGGTTATTCAGTTGTTTCAACATTTTTTTTAAAGTGAAATTTGTAAGTTTTCATTTACAAGGACATACATGTAGAATCACTACATTTTATGTTAAGAATAATTTTCTTAATGATTCCGCCCATTTTTGATTACGATAACAAATTATGGAAAAGGTGTTTTAAATAAATAAAAACGTGTTCGCGTGTCTAAATTTATTGCATGAAATCCGAATAAAATCTTCAATGCTTTACCAACCGGTTCAAGTCATTTTAATTATGTTCTGTTACGGGTGAAGTATTTGACAGAATTTATTCTACGTTTAAGTCAAGTTTAAAATGTGTGTATGTATACACCACTTCAATACACCTGCAAATATAACTTGTTAAGGAATAATTTAAATAGTCCACCACTTAACGCTTCGATTTACAAAGTAATTCAGTGCTTACCTGCTTGGATACTGATTTATATATAATTGGCAAAATGGTCGAGTATACAATGATACTAGTTCTTGTTCTAAGTATTCTGACATGGATCACAACAAATAGTTACTACAATTACACTTATTCAAAACCTCAGGATTGTCAAGATGTTCAAAAGTACGGGCGCGTTGAAACTGGTGTTTACACAATATACCCGGTAGGAACTTTGGGATTTCCGGTCAGGTGTGATTTTGATGATTCTACTTCCGGTGCATGGACTTTGATACAACGTCGAGTTTCAGCTAGTGACTTGTACAAAAGCTGGAATGAATATCAGGTTGGATTTGGAGATCTTAGCGACAATTTCTGGCTTGGAAATCAACAAATTCATATGATTACAAGGCAAGGCTGGTATGAGCTACGCATTGATATTGTATCTCCTGAATATGAAGTGGCACATGCGGTATATAATGTTTTCTATGTCGGTGATGCGAAGTTAAGATATGAACTGCTTGTTGATGGATATAGTGGGACAGCCGGGGATAGTATGTGGATACATAACGGACAAAAATTTACGATAATGACACACACGAAAGGAACTGTGCAGTGGATTTTAAAGATGGGTGGTGGTATGAAAAATGTCATTTTTCAAATCTGAATGGTGACTATGGTAACACTCAATATTTGGTATACTTGGAAAGGACATTACGTTTCAATGAAAACAACAGAAATGAAGATCCGGCGATGGCAGTCTCTGAATATGCATGGATAAAATTATATGACACACAGATAAAGAGAAAATGAACTAATACAATTATTAATAACTCCTACGAAATAATAAAGACTTTATTTAACGAGAGAACTCATTTGAACAACATATCAATTTCACATGAGACCCTCAGCTAGGAATAACAAATTTATTATATTCATACTATAAAAATATGTAACATACATGAGATTTAAAAGACAAAGCTAAAAATTTCTAGTATGGAACTAACACTTAGAGCTGCATCTGTGTATGATAACATTTCAAGCAAACTTGGTATCTTGAGAAGGGCTGTTCCAAATTCAAGATCCAGACCTACCAAATTGTTCAGTATTTGGTCTTATATAGGTTGTAAAGTGAAAATCATATAACTAACGGAAATTGGGAGTATGAACGTCTGCCGATAAAATGAAATTATTCAATAAATAGGAATAGATTATTTATTAATACCTTTTTTAGTACAACCCTCTGTGAAAAAATTCATTCAGCGGAGTTCAGAAAATAGTTCAGCAAATGGAGTGTCATAATCTTTGTCTAGAATAAGTTTTGCGGCCCAGCTCTCTTTTGGAACTTAATATGTTAATCTTGCAGGAAATATGTACATGATTGTGCAGTTACCATAAATTATTCAATAATAGTTAAAACAATAGTAAAGATGTGGTAAAATATATGCATTGTAAAATATTATACGTACAGGTATAGATAATATGAATATTCTAATGTAACAAAGAGGTTCATTTTTTAAGAACATTATCAAATGGCTTTGACAAGTCAAGGTTTTATTAATTGTATAATACCCAATAATTTTTCTTCAGAGCTTCAAACAGTTTGTTCAGTAAACAACAATTTTTATTTTAGGATAGATCTAATTAAATTTTGTTCAGTTAAATGCACGAAATTCGCGAGTTTCTGTATCTGGATTTCCTATTTTTGTTTGTTTGTTTGTTGTGTTACTGATCATGGAATAAAATAAAACAATTCACAGCTTACATACGGTGTACATATAGGTGCAGTTTCATAGCCTGGGATTCAGGCGTTGGTTTTTTGTTGTTGTTTTTTGCATATTCATAACATATGCGCTATTTCATACTCGTTCGTGTATTCATAATATCAACGATTTGCCGAGCTGGAACCCAGGATAGCAGTTTCATAATAAATATAGTAACGGTAATGACGATGAGACAATATCTACAAACCTATTTAAGAATATACAAATAAAACTAAACTTATGACTAGAAAAGTGTCCACTGTACATTTTCAGTTACAATGTGCGGGTCCCCTCGCTAGCGATTGTTTTCCATTGTAATTATATTTGATATTGTTAAAACGGAGTACATCGAACCAATAGTACATAAAATGGCATTGTTTATCTCAGCGCGAAAAGTACAAAAAGTATATTAGTTTGAATTAAACCGCTAAAACTAGATTTGATAGATCACTGTTATGGCTCAAGAAGCTTAACTAGAATTCTGCTTTGCGCTACATTTGATGTAAAATACACAATTAAATGGTAAATTTTCGTAGATACCCAGCAAACACATGACGTTAAAATAACGTCGGATTAATGTTAGATTTTGGTCACGACGTCGGCGACCAAAATACGACGTAAATCTGACGTTAAAATACCGATGTCTAATAGACGTTTCTTTTTGACGTCGTACTAACGTCAGGTTATGGTCGGTGTCCTGACGGTAGGTAAAAAAAATAACAAAAAATAATCCTTATTCGCTGTTGTAATCATTTAAACTTTTTTCAAATGTTATTTGGATTACAAATGAAGTGTTCTTATATAAATACAGACCAAGATCGCGGCGCTGCAACCTAATAAAACATATAGGTGGCGCTGTATATACGCAAGTTACATGTGTTATTGTTATGAAATCTATTTATAGCCACAGATCTGTTTACAAGTTCCAATACATGGATTCATAGAGTCCTGTAAACCATTATCATTTGTGGTACATTATATGTATCAAAATTACGAGTTTTTAATAGTGCTTTAACATTTAATCATAGTGACAGAAAAGGGAAAGAAAACATAATTAACCTTTAATTCGAATCTAAAGTCACGTGGATGGAAATTCAAATTCGTAGGCGTTACGTTTTGGCTGTCGGTCAGGAATCGGGATGCATTGATAAGTGAATATTATAGATTTTCTTGAACAAAAAGGTCAGTTCAATTTATTTAGATTTATTTCTACTTTGTATTTGATAAATAATTGCATGATTGCAAGCACTCTTAAATTTAATTATCATTATTTGAACAGCTGAAGTAAAATGTCACACAAATTCGCGATAATGTCTAATAATAAATCTTTTTAAAATTGACATGTTTTAACTCTGCTTGTGAAGAGTTTATAATATGCCTTTCAGTACTACCAAAGAGAATGCTTAGTTTTCATATTTTTCTTAAACTGTGATGTTTTTGTCAGTTAAAATCTGATAATTTAGAATGAATTTGTACGATTTCGAGCATTTCGGACCAAGACGTTTCGGTCCCAAATAACACAAAACGTTCCGGTCCCAAATAGACGCAAGACGTTTTGGTTCCAGACATTTCGGCATTAAATCTTTAATTTAAAACTATGAAATATTTAAGACTTGCGTAACTGTTCTATTTCAAACGTAGAATATATACATAAGTTAGAATATAATTTTCTTTTCAGGTAGTTAAAGTGTTGGACATGCTCTCAAAGGTCGGAGGGACGGAAACACGTGAATATGTAGAAAGAAACATATGAAAGTAAGATTTTTGTAAATTCTATTACATACTTTAATCCATACTAAACTGGAGTTTAAAAGTGGCTTTTTAAATGTTCAGTATTTATGTTTAAGCTCTCTTATAAAAAGTTGGCAAAATTGTTCATTAAGTTAAGATAACCATGAAAACATTTTTGCTTGTTATTTTTACATGTTTCATAAATTTCTTTTTTTTCAGTGAAAATGATGTCACACACGCTATTGGGCGCTACAAACGCTACTTATCCTCCGGACAGACGAGAGGTGCTGAAAGAAGGTCATATCTTAAAGCATCACACCTCAAAATTCGTGCTAATTCTCATGGATATCTAAAAGTATAACTTTGTGAAGTAACTAAAAGGCAGCAATTTATACATTACTGACAATTATCAAAGGAGGTCAAAATATGCAAAATGGCACTAAATGTTTTAGAAATGCTGTAGAAATATAGTTAAAGTACTGAAAATCTGTCATAAATTGCTTGAAACATTATTATCAGAATCTTTTAACTTTTCTTAAAATTATAATATTTTCATTGTTTTATTTGATAAGGCAAACTTTGATAGAAATGTGCATACATTGTTTTGTTCTTTAATATTTGTACATGTTTTCTTAGTTTCATTTATGTCATTGTTTTTGTAATACTTTTTGTTTTGTAATTAACTTATTTTATGTTTTATTTTGTTTAATTTATGAAAATTATTTAACCTTGCAGAATTTACTAAAATTGTATGTATCAGCTTAAAATTGCAACTTTTATCTTAAATTAAAAAAGCATGAAACATATTTTTGCTTTTAGTTTTCTGTTATACATTTCATTTGAGGGAAAGTTACTTAATAGAATGAGTTACATTAAATTAGATCAAATCAGGATTAGCCAGAAAATATTTATGACGTGGTGAAACAAAAAGGATTAGGGGAATGATAAGATGAAGGTCAGAAAATGATCAGATTTAGGGCAGAAAAGGGTTAATATTTAGGTCGGAAAATGGTCAGATTGAGGTCGGAAAATGGTTAGAAACTGGTTAGATTTAGGTCGGAAAATGGTCAGATTGAGGTCGGAAAATGGTCAGATTGAGGTCGGAAAATGGTTAGATAATGGTCAGATTTTGGTCAATAAAAAGGTTAAATAGTGGTTAGATTCTGACGTCTACCTGACGTCAGATTATTACGTCAAAAAAACTTTCAAATCCAACCGTTTTTCCGACCGTCATCCGACGTCAGAACCTGACTTAAATCTGACGTCAGTATGACGTCTTGTGTTTGCTGGGTAACCATGGATAAAATAATCGCTATTTGTCATTTCAGTGGTTCTTCCTCTGAAATGTGTTGATATAGCTCGCAACACCCGGATGGGAACAGTTTGTTTATTCATTACACAGTATCATGCAGCATTTTGGCCTGGCTCAACCTTTGTTGAAGAACTTAAGTCTTGTAAACTTTGATTTGCAGTTATCTTTGCTAATAATGTATCTTCACATAAATAAATTATGTTGTTAATGTTCATTTTTTCCACACACATTGCCTTCATACATATGTAAACAACTTATTTTAAATACACGTGAGTATTGTGATAAAGTGTGGAAACAGCTAGGAAGCTGACACAATTAAAGAATTCGAGACATATTGGAAATATCCCTTGAAATTATTTTAAATTCTGAGTTTATTATATCAGCTATAAAGCCATAAATTCAAAACAAAATCAAGCCAAAAAGGTAAAGTTCTTGGACTTATTCATTAGCTATTCGTTTCCAAAACCCCATGGGATTGTGGGTGGCAGCGGGGACGAGACTTAAGTTTAAACGTGCGAAGTTGTTGAATTTTGCTTTCACATCAAAAATGTTAGTGATTACAGTTTGAATATTTAGTCAGAGCATGAAGAATTTGCGGGAATTCAACAATTTGAATAATTTACATGCCTGTAGGACTAAAGTCACAGTCCCTACTAATCTCCAGGCTAGGGCTATAAATGACTGGTGCAACTTTATACACAATGACATGTAAAATTAATAAACATAAGCTGAAATCTTGATTTACATTCAAGATAAAAAAAACTTTGTTTAAACTAAAGATGATCATTCATTTATATTCAAATATATTTAAATTTATTCATTCCAGACTAGATTATGAAAACCATGCCAGATACTAAATAGCAAAGCCAGCAATTTTCATATATATTCTGATGCCGAGTTTAATGTTTTAAATTTTAACAAACTATTAAGTTGGATTAGAATAAGATAATATTATATTGCAATAGAATTATATAAAGATTTATATATGATGCGAGATTATTGTCTGAAATAATCAACATAATATTGAAATGATGATAACTATTAAAGGAACTCCTCTTAGGTACAAAAGCCTATCAACATAAAATTTGAATGTCTGCCATAGACCAACAGGAGCACTTAAAACAGTAAGTTTTGCAATTTTAAGATGATTAAAATATAAAGTTCGTGACCATACCTACCATTATGCATATTATTAATGTTTTAAATTTCTTTTGTACTTTTGAAAAACTTTTTTTCTATTGTTCTATTGTTTAGGCTTAAACTGAAAGTTTATCACTTTTCAGGCCAAGATAGCAAACATTATTGATTTGAGTGCAGCCACTTCGGGGTCAGACCCTATCCCCCGGCTTGATTTGCCACTTGAACTGTCAATAAATAACTTTTAACATTTAACACAAACAGGGCATCTGTCTATCCACAAGAATTAAAAGAAATCCCATTTCCCTACTGGCACAAGTGATATGACCATTATGCATTATAATCGTACAAGTTTAGTCTTTTAATTCATTAGAATAAGTTAAAGAGTTTAATTGGGATATTTTTATATAAATGAAACATTCATTAAATATAACAAGCAAAATTGACATTTTCTTCAGGTTATTCAGTTGTTTCAACATTTTTTTAAAGTGAAATTTGTAAGTTTTCATTTACAAGGACATACATGTAGAATCACTACAACTTATGTTAAGAATAATTTTCTTAATGGTACATATTAGATATTCTGCCCATTTTTGATTACGATAACAAGTTATGGAAAAGGTGTTTTAAATAAATAAAAACGTGTTCGCGTGTCTAAATTTATTGCATGAAATCCGAATAAAATCTTCAATGTTTTTACCAACCGGTTCATGGAGTCATTATAGTTATGTTCTGTTACGGGTGAAGTATTTGACAGAATTTAGGCTATTCTATACGTTTAAGTCAAGTTTAAAATGTATGTATGTATACACCACTTTAATACACCTGTTAATGTAACTTGTTAAGAAATAATTTAAATAGTCCACCACTTAACGCTTCGATTTACACAGTAATTCAGTGCTGACCTTTGGGTATATTTATTATAATTTGGGAAAAAGGTCCCATTACAATGATAAATAGTTCTTTTCTAAAATATTTTTTCTGACTGGGATTTACAACAAAAAAATTACTACAATTACACGTATTTTAAAACCCCCAGGATTGTCAAAATGTTTAAAATTTCGGGCAAGTGAAAAAAAGGGGTTTTATACAAAAACCCGGAAAGGGAAATTTTGGGATTTTCCCCTCAGGTGTGGGTTTAATGATTCTACTTTTCCCGGGGGCATGGATGTGATACAAAAAATCCCCGTTTCAGCCCAGTGACTTCTACAAAAAGGGTGGAATGAATATTTTTAGGTTGGATTTGGGGGATCTTTAAACGACAATTTTTGGCTTGGGAAAACAAACAAATTTATATGATTTTTCAAGGCAAAGGGTGGTATGGCCCACGCATTGATATTGTATCTCCTGAAAATGCAGTGGCACATGCGTTATATAATGTGTTCTATGTCGGTGATGCGAAGTCACAATATGAACTGTTTGTTGATGGATATAGTGGGACAGCCGGGGACAGTTTGGGGCCATACAATGGATATAAATTTACAACTAAAGATAGAGATAATGACCAGCACGAAAGTAATTGTGCAGTGCGATTTATAGGTGCATGGTGGTATGGAAAATGCCATCAATCAAATCTTAATGGTGACTATGGTAATACTCAATTCGGGGAAGGTTTGTCCTGGTATCATTGGAAAGGATATTACGTTTCAATGAAAACAACAGAAATGAAGATCCGGCGATGGCAGTCTCTGAATATGCATGGATAAAATTATATGACACACAGATAATGATAAAAATGAACTAATACAATTATATCTAATACGAAATAACAATAATAATATTGATGATAATGATAATAATATAATATAATAATTATTATAAAGTTTTTATTTAACGAGATAACTCACTTGAACAATATATCAATCTTCCATGACATGGTATTGGGATGTAAAGTTGAAAATCATCAGATGATGAACGCAAAATGGGAGTATGAACATCTGACGATAAAATTAGATTATTTAATAAATAGGAATAGATTATAAATTAATCATAATAGCTTTTTGAAAAAAAACAACCCTCTGTGAAAAGGTCATCCAGCGGAGTTCAGAAAATAGTTCAGCAGATGGAGTGTCATAATCTTTGTCTAAAATTTGTCTTGCAGCTCTCTTTTGGAACTTAATAAGTTAATCTTACATGTGCAGTTACCATAAATTATACAACAATTGTTTTAACAATAGTAAAGATGTGTAACAATAAACAGTAAAATAACAGTAAAAGCAATAGTAAAGATATGGTAAAATATATGCATTGTAAAACATTATAGTATTATTAAGAACATTATCAATATGACATTGCCAAGACAAGGTATTATTAATTGTATAATACCCAATATTTTTTTCTTCAGAGCTTCAAACAATTTGTTCAGTATACACCAATTTTTATTATAGGATAGATATGCTTAAATTTTGTTCAGTATTTAACTCGCGAATTTCGTACATTTAGCACGAAATTCGCGAGTTTCTGTAACTGGATTTTCTATTTTTGTTTGTTTGCTTGTTGTGTTACTGATCATGGAATAAAATTAAACAATTGACAGTTTACATACGGTGTACATACAGGCAGTTTCATAGCCGTTGATAATTTTTTTGCATATTCATAACATACGCGCTTTTTCATACTCGTTCGTGTTTTCATAATATCAACGATTTGCCGAACTGGAACCCAGGATATTGTCCTTTTTATTTACTTTGTCTTTTGATTAAATATATTTTCTTCTTTTTAATTTCTATTTCTTTCCTTCCTTTTTTGTTTCTTTTTTATTTCATTTCATTTTAAAGATCGAAATATTTTAACACATTGCGATTACGAAATAATAATAATTTTAATATACATGAATCATTATAAACACACTTTATTTCATTTGATTACATGTTTTGTAGTAGATTACTGAATTATAACGATTAATTATATTCTGATAATTTCACAGTAATGATTACCAAATATAATTTCACAGTAGCCGAACTATGTTTGGCGTAAAAATAAAATATTTATCATTAATGAATGTTTTTTTCAGCGGAAATGTAGTCAATCATAATAAAAAATGTACGTGATAACTGTTGTTCGTAAAATATTTACGAAACGTTGTGCTGAAAAACATCTAAAATCTAAAAATAATCATGGAATTATATTTTGCTTCAACATTGTGACGTCATTATTTGATGACGTCATGAAGATAAGAGCATGACGTTACGCGGCAAAAATCAGTAAAATGATGTAAAAATCGTTAAAAAATCATGAAATAAACAGAAAATTTGCTTGTTTTACATGTAAGATCAAATAATATTTCACCGAGTGAACACCAGATGCAATATTTTCCACGAGTGGCGTATATATTTTTTTTTACATTTCTAATAATGCGCTTTCCTGACGTTGACATTATCCTAAAACGTTTAAGTGCATGTCAACATGTGTACAAAAATATTCTATCCCACACATTCGAAACTATTTGGAAATAAGAAAAAGATAATTATATAAATATATAAAAAGTCTCAGATGTAATTATACCTAACTATGATTCGAACATGTAAATGCATGAATACAAAACAGACACGGACGCTCTGCCTACTTAGCCGCCAAGACACATTGAAATGCCTCGTTTAACGTTGTGTTTTATTCATAAGGGTTCCCAAACTGCCTTACCCAAATTTTTTTGCTTTGTTATGTTTAAAAAAAAGGGTCAAAATTTTTATCCTGGGACCCGTTTCAAAACCCATTTTTGAACTTATTTTTAAATTACGAACAGAAAAACGTTCATGGTAAATTTTTAGTTTCAAATTGGGGGGTAACCTCGCTGATTGGGCGTTTTCCCTTGGGAAATTTATATGGTTTAAACGGAGTATAATTATTTTCCCAAAGGTACATTAAAAGGGATTTTTTAATTTTCAGCGCTAAAAATATATCAGTTTTAAATTCCGGGGAAATCGCTTTTAAAAACAGATTTGTTAAAATAGAGGTTTCCCACCAAGAACTTAAATAGGGAAAGCTTTGCGCTACATAGCCAAAAAAATGGTAATTTTTTGTAGGGGAAACCCTGGATAGAAAAATCGTATTTGTTCCCCCCTCTGAATTATGTTGGTTTAGCTCGCAACACCCAGATGGGAACAGTTTGTTAACGCATTACGCAATATCATGCAGCATTTATATAGGCACATGCTCAACCTTTGTTGAAGAACTTAAGTCTTGTAAACTTTAATTTGCATAAATTACAGATTTGCCTTTAAGAACTCCTCACACTTAAGCGAAAACCCCCAACGTCATTTCTTGCTTCCAGACAATTTAGACTTAAGAGATTTCGTCACCATTACGTTATTAATAGTCAGTGGTATCCGTATTTATGCGGGTTTTGTGTGTGTGTTTTTTTTTTTGCGAACTTGTACGTATTGTAGCTATTCTAATGCGAATTTCATGACGTGTGAAAGTTGATGATAATAAATGCATAACGTTTAGAAAACGAACGGCATACCCGACCCTGCATACGAATCATTATGAAAGGTAGCTATATGACTTGCGAATACATGTTAATAATAACCAATTTAAATCATAAGTAGTTTTGATCACTTTTACAGTAAATTTTTGCCATGTCTGTCGTGCTTTCCTGATACTCTAAGATTTACCGTCGCTAAAATGGAGATGCATACATTGTATTTTGCTGCTGTATGAGTTTGCTGTGACTACATATATTATAACAGCGAAATAAAATAACAGAATAACACCAGATGAGCGAACAAAGTGTAAACAAAAATGAAACTTTAGAATAATGAAATGCATTAATATACACATTCCTTACAACTCTTTTCAAGTAATATACATTTCTATCCTGATAGTAACAGAATAAGGGGTATACTTGTGCATCTTTTGATTTAGTTATTCGTGCCTGTAGATAAAAATAGCTTTGATATTCATTTAAATTATTTATCATGGAAATAAGCGTGAATCTCTGAGCTTGTTGTTAAAAGACCAACCAGATGATGTTTGTGAAAAACATGCGTTTTTTTTTTTGTTCACAAACTTGATGAAAAAGTAACCAATGAGAACATGACCAAGATACAAAAGATAGAGACCAGTGACATACATATATACTCGTATGTGATTCTTGTAGAAAACCAGTTAAATATTGCTAATGTTCAATTTCATGTGTAAACATACAAGTCTTTGTCTAACCTGGTTGTATGTCTTACAGTTTTAGTAAAATTTGCAGTATCACTTAAAGTAGCCATTAAATACATGTAACAATGTATTTACTACATTTAGAATTTAACCTTTTCCCTTATATAAGCGTGTTTCGACGGTTCCCCCCCCCCCCAACTTTTTTGAGGCCTCAAACAGTGAAAAAATGCCCTATTTAGGCCCCAAACACTGTTTTTCGTTTGAGAAATGTTGTTAAAAAGTGACAGGTTACAGGAGGCCTTTCAATGAAAACGACCATTTTTCGCAATATGCTCATGGGGTAAAAGGTTAATTAAAAAAATGTCAAAAAACAACAATTTTTCACCAAAATTAGGTGTAAGGGCACGTCTTAACATGGAAAAACTAGTTTTAGTAATTCCAAGGTTTTTCATCATTTTTTGTTAACCTTTTTCCTTATACATGTATAAGCGTGTTTCGACGGCTTTTTGCCCCCCCCCCCTTTTTTTGAGGCCTCAAACAGTGCAAAAATGCCCTATTTAAACCCCAAACACTGTTTTTCGTTTGAGAAATGTTGTTCAAATTAAGTGACCACTTTTTCGGCGCCGTCCCCCATCCAAATGTTACATCAGGGGTTGCCAGAAGGGGGATATGCCCCCTTCTGTTTGGGAGGGTTGAATGGAACGGGAGTCCCCCTCATCGCCAAGAAAATTTTGGACATGTGACAGGCTACAAATAGCCTCAGGTCGAATTTAGGGTAACTAGTAACCGACGCTGAAAAGCCTTTTACTCTATCTCAATTCATTGAGAAGTTGCAGCACTTTGAAATCAGTTTTGATGGAAAAAAACAATGCAAAATAGTGATTTTTTGGAAATTTTGAGACGACCCCCGTTGCAATGGTAACAGGAAATTTACGAATGAGCATGCTGTTACTGAGGCTATGGTCTAGTCAACATTTGTGCCAAGTTTCATCAGTATTGAAGCATTTTTCATAGTTTCATAGCAGTTTGAACTTGTTACTTGAGGCTTTTCAATGAAAACGGCCATTTTTTGCAATATGCTCATGGAGTAAAAGGTTAAACATACTGTGATGAAAATTTATAGACAGTAACCAAAACCAAAGTAAATGTACTACAAGTATAGCAAAATTGAATATATCTACATGTATTTCAAAGAAGAATCATCATTCCTACAGTTTCTGAAGAAAACAATTCTCAATTAAAAAAAAAACTTAATCATATATACGTCAAATGTTTGAAGCAAACTTCTTAGACAGAGAAATAAATGAAAGAAAGAAGTATTTGTAATGTCTGATCTTAACATAGATCTAGAAATAAATTATGTTGTTAAAGTTCATTATTCCACACACATTGTCTACATACATATGTAAACAACTCATTTTAAATACACCTGAGCATTGTGATAACTTGTGAAAGCGGGTAGGAAGGTGACACAATTAAAGAATTCGAGACATATATAATAATTATATACTATTGGAAATATCCCTTGAAATTATTGTAAATTCTGAGTTTATATCAGCTATAAATTTAAAACGAAAACAAGACAAAAAGGTAAAGTTCTTGAACTTATTCATCAGCTATTCGTTTCAAAAACCCTATGGGATTGTGGGTGGGAGCGGGGAAGTGACTTAAGTTTGAACGAGTGAATTTGATGAATTTTGCTTTCCCATAAAAAATGTTAGTAATTACAGTTTGAATATTTAATCAGAGCATGAAGAATTTGCGGACTTCTATAATTTGAATAATTTACAGGTACGTTGAATTTGCTGGACTAAAGTCACAGTCCCCACTAATCTCCAGGCGAGGGCTATAAATGACTGGTGCAACTTTATACACCATGACATGTAAAATTGATGGTGATAAACATAAGCTGAAATCTTGATTCACATTCAAGAGGAAATAAAACTTTGTTTAAACTAAGGATGATCATTCATTTATATTCAAACATATTTATACTTATTTATTCCAGACTAGATTATGGGAACCATGCCAGATACTATATACATGTAGCAAAGCCAGCAATTTTTATTAAAGAAAACATATTCCGTTGCCAAGTTTAATGTTTTAACAAACTATTAAGTTGGATTAGAATAAGATAAAGTGCAATAGAAACATATAAAGATCAATATATGATGCGAGATTATTGTCTGAAATAATCAATATAATATGGAAATGATGATAACTATTAAAGGAACTCCGCTGAGGTACAAAAGCCTATCAACATAAAATATGAATGTCTGCCATAGACCAACAGGAGCACTTAAAACAGTAAGTTTTGCAATTTTAAGATGATTAAAATATAAAGTTCGTGACCATACCTACCATTATGCATATTATTGATGTTTTAAATTTCTTTTGTACTTTTGAAAAACTTTTTTTCTATTGTTCTATTGTTTAGGCTTAAACTGAAAGTTTATCTCTTTCAGGCCAAGATAGCAATCACTATTGATTTGAGTGCAGCCACTTCGGGGTCAGACCCTATCCCCCGGCTTGATTTGCCACTGTGAACTGTCAATAAATAACTTTTAACATTTAACACAAACAGGGCATCTGTCTATCCGCAAGAATTAAAAGAAATCCTATTTCCCTACTAGCACAAGTGATATGACCATTATGCATTATAATCGTACAAGGTTAGTCTTTTATGTCATTAGAATAAGTCAATGAGTTTAATTTGGATATTTTTTATATATATGAAACATTCATTAAATAAAA